AACCTCACCTCGTAAAACCAAAATCACTGTTACTGTAACTTCCAAGCTTGAAGGCCTATGTTTCACTCAGAACACTAAGTGTGCGTAATGTGTGTGTCTGCTCACTTAGACAATCTTAAGTTGACTAGCGACCACTCATTGTACATACCAAGTCACGTATTCATGTCAAAGTAAATACTTTAGTCCAACAGAGAAAAGCATTAGTCAATGTATGTAAAAAAATATCCCAACTTATCCAACATAATCATACAGAAAGTTGATAATGCTCCCGAATAACCAAGTGGTAACGGCTCTGACTGCAAGACTGAGGGATATGAGTTTGCATCTCTGGTACAGAAAATCACTTCTTGCTTCCTGACAAGTGCCAATAAACACGAAATCTATGTCCAAGACATCTTGCAGACTCCCTCTAATTATCACATAACTTCAAGACTATGTGATCTTTTCAAATATGCAATAGTAATACACCATACTTCAGAGCTGTGTTTTTCCAAGAGAAAACACCAAGGGTTAAAACAGCATGAACATTCAAAAGTAATTTTCACTTTTATAACAGAAAAGTTCATAAAATTGTCTTGTTCTTTTGTTTGTTTGTTTGTTTTTCTTTGATTTAAACTGATAATACTCATGAGAATCTTGTTCATATTACTCCCTACATAAATAAGTATTTACTCATACTTAAGCAAAGATACACATTACACAAAACACATTCTTTCCTAGTTCTAATGAAATAATTTTGATAACTGGTATTATTACAAACGATTATGCAAATATATTCCTGTAAACAAGTATGTCATTATATCTCACTCAGTAGTATCATCGTCTTGATCAACACTTATTGTGTTCACAGTATCATTAGGTGGTGATGCTTCCTGCTTAATTTGTGTTTCTGTTTTTGTTGCCACATTCGTAAATTTGCTATTGTGTCCGTTCGACCACCAGTTGTTTGGAAGTGTTGAGGTACCCTCATTCTGGTGTTTTCTCTCTTCAACCCCTGTAGTGGATAGAACTTCAGCAGCATCATGTAATGGACCCCAGATCTCACGGTGTGCAGCATTGAGATATTTACGTTGACGTCTTTCTTTGTGTAATTCATAAGATTGTTTGTTCACCTGGAACAAAATCAATTTTTTACTGATGGAAAATATTCAGAAAATTGTTTTTGTTTTAAAGAACTATTTTATAAGTTCGTTTACCTCTGACTACTTTCACTTTAAAAACGCAAACACACCCTTAGGTTCGATATTAGTAGTCAGTCATAGAAATGCTCTGTTTAATCTACGCACTGTTATCGGATAAGCAGCCAATAAGTAACTTTATCCTTTTCCATACGGTTCTAAATGGTCCTATGGTTTATACTGACCCATGAAATCTCAAAATGAAATAGACTGGTCCTCAGTGGTCAACTTTTACGATAGGCATATAGCTTTTTCCTGTTACCTAGCTACCATCCTTGTGACGTTAAAAATAAGTGGTTGGTGAAATTTAGTGACATGGCTGAAAATCCTGTGTAATTACTCAGCTATATTTACCTCCAAATCACTTTACTGGAGAGCCACTCTACACCTCCCCCTTGCCTATCGAGCATTCTACCACTGACTGACTGAGTTTTCAACTTACAACTGCACAGAATTACAGCAGTGCAAGTCGTCACACTTCAAATACCACACAAAGATAACGAAAATTAGAAAATCGAAGGAGCTCCAGTGAACACGTATACTTGGGAGAAAGAAGTGCGTGCAGAACAGTCAGAATTTGATAAGTCTCTGAGTTCACAAAGAATGAAGGCATATATACGGTTAAAAGCGATTTTGAGCCCTGTCACTAACAGTCATTGATCCCTAGCGACTCAGGGACTCCAGTCAGGCAGTCTGTTCTTCATTGCGTGGCTCAAACCAACGGTCAAAGACTTCATAGATCGATGACAAGTTATGATTTGACCATCTCTAACTTTTTACAAACCCATTCTTATGTCAGCCAAGGTTTTTTGACAAGGAAGGCGATGGCTTGACATGTACAACACGCATCTCATTCTTCACAATCTATTTAGCCTCATAACCTCATCGACTGACTTCAGGTTATCACCTAACACTCTAACCTTACTGTTACCGACCATACTGTATCACTCAACACGGGACATTTAAGGCAAGAATATATGGTCAGATACAGCTGGCCTCTTCGGGTCTTCCACTTCCAATGGCTATGACTTGAAGCTATAAATAGAGACAAAGAGAAGTGCTGAGTACTACATAAAGATCACGTAAACTGATAAAAGCCACATGAGCACTTTGTGTCCGTACTTACGTTTCCTCAGCAACCAGATGATTAGGGCTGCTGTGAACAGCCAAATAACTGAAGCGGTCAACCTTTGCATTCCCAATCTTCAAGCTGGGAGTCGGTGAAGACATTCATGGAGCATCCACATTCGACAGTGGCGAAGTGCATACCGAACACACTAGGGCTTCTACCCAATGTGTTGAGAAGACTTTATTTTGTCAGTCTTCACCTATAGGGACCATTATCCGCGTACTTTAAATAGACGAAACCGTAACCTAGTAAAAAATTAATCTCTAAGTCTCTAAAGTCGATCGGTTTGACATTCACAAGCAAATCTATAAAATTAAACAAAAACGAAGGCATTGAACATCTCTGACGAACAGCACTGGTTTTCATCCCTTGAGATGTCAACTCTCCATAAGTTATGACAGTGATGAGTTGGAGCAGAGTGCTTTGATCAGTGCAGTATAGTTTCTCTGCACTGCTTTCACTACCAGAAATTGATGAAGAAGTTTTCAGTCGATGAAGTTAAATGACACCTCCAGGTTAAAAAATACGACAGGTGTTGGACACCATTAAGTATGTCTATGGTTCACAATCTGTCCAAGGGTTAAGACATGACCAACACACTCTATTCCTGACCTGAAAGCTGTCTGGTTATCAGAAATTTGTTTATTCCGAGTAACTCTTAGTCTACGCAGGATTATTGAACCTAGAATCTTGGATATTGTATCGGCTAAGATGATCGCCCTGTGATTATCACAGACTTGCCTCCCTTCTATGTATTGCGATAGTCAATGATTTAAACTACTTCATTAGGAATATTTCACCTGTTCACACATCACCTAATATTTTAGTTTACTTAGATATTAGTTCATCATCGCCCTTGAAAACCTTTGGAGTCACTCCATTAGGCCCCACCACTTTCCTTAGTTTCGGATTAGACAGTTGCAGAATCAACTACCATTTGAGGACGTATGTTTTCCCTCCAAAGGTTCAGTCTTCTTTACTGAGAGGTAGATAACTCGCTGTTCTCCTTGGAATTTGTTTCGCTTATCAGTGGTCTCCTAGAACCCTTCATCTTAATCAGTCTAAATAGTTGTCTGGTATCACCTACCGCAGGTGACTTTCGCATGTTTTTTATTTTTCTCGCCCACCATTTTTCGTAGTCTTTGAGAAGATTTTTAGTCAGCTCTCGCTTCTCCTCTTTGGAGCCCCTGGAACCTATGCTCTTGCATACATCAGTTGGGGTGAAGCAGCTGCGATCCACTGACATTTACTAGCGTTCGACTCCTCCCTTTACCACTGTTTCTACAGTTGAGTGGATATGGCATCAGGCTTCTATCAATGAACTGCCGAAGCTATCAGTTATCTACTTAGTTAGTAAGTTAATTTCATGCCTGACGCTTATGAAGTTATCAGCTTCAAATTGTCTTCATCACTGCATGCAGCGACTGTTATGATGTCTTTTAGTATAATTAGGAATGCTAGTTTACTTTAATGAACTCTGAACAATTTCCTGGACTATAAGTTTCCAGACCGTAGATGTTACGAACTTCCTAGAATAATATGAGCGCCGAGTCAGAATGATTCATTATAAAAACGTTGGGATTAATTTAAATAATGTATAATGAATTCCCTGGACAATTAATCCCTGACCCGTAACCAGTAAAATACACATAATACGGTAAAAAAATATGTACTTCCAAACACAGATGAGAGGAAAGAGTGATCAAAGTTACAAAAATACAAGGTGTATGTCTATCCATTTGTGTGACAGTGGCACAACGATAGAATGCTCGCCAACCACGCATGTAGCCTAGGGTCAGATCCCCTGCCGACGCATTCCTTTACCTTAATAAGCCAATAATAAGACTGGTAAAGAGGGAAGGTTGGGTATGAGGCTAGCAACCCCATCCCGTAAATATAAACACTACTGCTACCAAAATTTCAAGCCTCTAGCTTGAATCCCTATGTTTCACCAGGAACGTAAAGGAATAAAAATTATCTATCCAGTCACAAGGTTGAACTGTAAGCATTGTTATTAGTTGACGCCGATCACGTGACATGAGAATTGTTTTTGTCTGACTGCAGACTAATGAGATGGATTGTGGATACAAATCAGGGACAATACAAATACATGCCCATACATACACATGAAAAACCTCACGGAATAGATTTATTTCTTTAATTTGATACAAGAAGATGTAGAGATAATAGTATTTTATCCAATGTTTTTTGGACCCCTTTGTAGTAATAAAACTGAAAGATATACTGAGTTGAAGTGCTACAGGGAATTTTACATACAGCGTGAATAATTCACCAGTAAAATATGTCTGTCAGTGACTATTTATGTGTAATATATGTGACAAAAAACTAAAATAATGCAGGCATCTAATATTCCACATAACTTCACATTCCGTTACAAATGGGTTATCAACAAACACAAAGTCTAAGCAGAGTATTTTGTCAATCCCCTCTAACTGTGTGAAATCAACCTGTAGCAAACTGAGTTAGCCAGTTTGCTAAATTTAGTGAATCTCAAAAGTAAGAATGCGGCCAACATTCGAAGCATTCAAAAGTTCGATAATAATTATTCTCCGTTGAACATAGAAAAGTTCTTATGTCGCCTGACAATATAATAACCTATACTGTGTATAAAATAAAAAGCTATTAAACCTAATTATGTTAATGACAAGCTCACAATGTACTATGAAAGGTGATTGCAACTAAAAACTGCTTAGGAATATAATCTAGTTATTGAACACTTATTCTGAAATGATAACAAAACAAACGATGTAGGACAGCTTTCAGACAGCGGTATGCAAAGATGTCATGAGATAATTCATTTGTATGAAGTCTTTTGAGATAAACCTACCAATTTATGCTGACATATCCTACTGGATAATTTCTCCCAGGCTAAGCCGAGTGTTATCATTATAGACTCTCACGAAATAAGCATGTCTCATTTCACCTCTCTCGTATTTTGAACTGCCAAAACAAATTTTGTGATTACATCATGGCACTAAGTTAAACTATTCACCAACGACATTCACCTAACTGATTTATTAAAAAATTATTCAAATATAACCATAATTTATGAAAAGTTAGGAGTATTTAGAGTAATTATTACATTTCATTCTAAAATGCTGTTTACTAGTGTACCTTATCTCATTAAAAAATAAAAGATAGTATGGGGTATGGATAATATATTTACATTATGTAATCAATGTGTCATTATCTGTGTCTAACAACTCACACTCTAGTAGTCTAAGCAACCACTTATCAACTTTGATTTATACACGATGTGTAACATAAATGTTAACTGGTTAAGAATTAAAGGGAAAATAAAGTAGAATGTAAAAGGAGTGATAAACACTTACAAAAATACGCACACACACACATACTTACATATGGTATCAAAAAGTTATGCACTAGTTCGGCTGCTAATTCATCTGACTTTAATTCATCACGATTCATTTCATAAAGATGTGAATCTTCATCAATTTGCTTAGCTAATTTTGAAATTTCTTCTCTAGCCAATTGACTAGCAGTAGTGTCCACAGTTAAACCAGCAATATTTGCCAAATAATTATCAACTGTCTCTTCATGCACTTTGACGAGCTATCAAAAAGCGAAATTAAACAGCAATATTCTTTATTATTTGGCGTTATTATTATTAGGGCTTCACTAAGCAGACAGTTTCGCTAGTCTCCGACAATCTTGTATAGTTTTGTGGTGTACCGAGACACGAAAATGAATAGATCTAACCGCATTAAATTAATACTAACTCTAGGTAGACGTCTAGACCGTTTGTTGATGCTTTCGGTGTTTACAGCATCTGGTATTTCGCGCTGCTTTCTTGTGCTGTTAACACATTCTATTATTTGATTAAATAACCTTGATATTTTTTACTCTATTTAAATATTTCTCTCATCAGAATATATTCCCGAATAAACTGAGCTTTTTGATTTCTGTTTTCTTATGAGTACTTCCAAGTCAGGTAGGTGTAGTGTAGCATACCAATAGCACAACCAGTACCTTACATTAACAATAATTGTTTTCTATTGACTTTTAAGAAATATGCGAAATATATTGAAATAAACTGATGCTATAATTACCATCATAATTTGCATTCACTGCATAAACCTAATCAATAAACATTTACTAAAAAGTCATTATTCCATGAAGAACATAATTGTAACAGCTGACACAGCAAACTTATGTTCAAGCATTTTTCGATATGGTAAAAATATAACACTGTACATATATTGCAGTAGGGAGGGTGGCGGGGGGGGGAGTAAAGTCATCGAAAAGAGGGTGAATAATACAAGTTTTCATATCTTCAATACAAGGATCATTATAACCTGGCAAACTCTAATGACTCTTAAGTAGGCTGATTTAATTATAATATGTGTAATACTGAAGAATATAGCTGGAAGTTAACTAATTCTTTAAACAGTAATTACTCCTCTTTAACTAAATTCAAACTCCTCTGTACGGTTTGGGATGATGGGTTTCCTCTTCTATGCCTAAAATACGCAAAGACATGACCGTCTGCCACAGTTTAGAGTTTCTACAACTTTAACATACTTATGGTCAGTGGAATCAACACGAAATATGGCGAGAAAAAGGGTGTCGAATATCCGTTTACTGGATGGTCCTAGCATACTATTCAGACGTATATTTTCGCAATTATGAATAGTTTTCTCTACTCGTTTCCACTCCATTTTACTTGATTCATTTATATTAATCAGTATGGCCACCTAGTCTGAAATGCTAATCGATATCGACTGATTAACTGTGCAATATAATCTTTAGGCCGAATATCATAAAATTAATATGTTGTATGCAAATGGTCTGAACTGTATCAAAGCTATGTCCTCAACTTAGAAACTGAATAACACAGATTTTTGCCTCAGTGAAAGCATGTGTTAATAAAGGCCCGAACACACAATGATGATGAGTTCTAGTTCTATGTAAGGTGGAAAGCGTTGGCAACTAATTCTTTTGATGCAGTCTCCAAAACCTTCAGGGAACTAGGATTCATTATAACTATTCTTCGCATGAGTTAAATACAGGGCTCCAGATTCATATCTCCACTGTACTCTGTTTGTTTCCCTTATTGTTACCTGTCTCCACGAATGCCCAGAATTTTTCATTCCCCCTTCATATGATCTCCTAGATATCACAGTTGGATGCCTTATTCGTCTCTTCCCATTCCGGTCTCACTTGGAAGTCTGGAGCGTGATGTTACTAAAGTGTCTCCTCAGCGTATGCCCAATCTATCTTCACTTACTTCCACATTTTTTGGGCAATGTGTTCTTCGTTGGTTCCTGATCAGAGTCCCTTATTACTTATCCTTAATGGCTGGTCATCTGATCTTCACAATGTTTTTCGTGACATGTCAAGTCTGTGGACTGCGTAAAGTCAATGATGTAACATCAGTGCTAAAAATTTCGAAATAGAATTAAATTGCGTGTTATTGTATATTAATAACTATGGTGACAGTATGTGTCTAAACTGATTCTGATTATGGTTGTAAGTTGGTTGGAAATATACTCAAAGGTCACAAAGTTGCTACACTGTCTTGCTGAAGGCTCAGTATATATATATATATATATATATAATAAATATTTGAATTAATTAATTTCCAATAAGTGTTCTACCTGTTTGAATATTTCATCTTGTTCTCGTCTTCTACGCTCTTCCTTTTGGCGTGTGCCACTTTCTTCAGCTTCTCTTATTCGTCTTTGGCGTTCGGCCAATAAAATTAAGGCATGTGCACGTCGTTCTTCAATCAGTCTATCTAATTCTTTACTTAAGAAATCTAACATATTGGCCAAACTGTCACTTTCAAATCGTCCCAAGATGGCTTCCATTCTATTGTCCTTTATTTATTTGTTTTAAATATTAAAAACGATTGTCATTTATTAATATTTATATAAGAACTTGATACTTGTTAATAAAATAAAAGCTTAATTTTTACTCGGTTGTCTTATCTGTATAAAAAAAGGAAATTCATTTATTCACTAAAGAGGTTTAGGAACACGTGCGAACTGACAGAAGTCAGAATTCATGCTCTATTGGATAACGGCTCAGTGGCTGAATGGTCAAAGAGCTCGTCTCGAAACCTTTGTGCCCTGTACGATCACAGATGCATGCTGATGAAGAGCCCGAGATTAGAACGACACATTTGTCCAGTATTCCTTTTTTCCTTCTAGTGCCTTCGTGATCAGACTGATTGACTTTTGGTCTGATGACCGTAAGAAGCAGAGGTTGAATGGACTAACTTACGTTTTCCAGATGCTCAGAATCAGTATGGTTAAAGCCTGTTCATAATAATTATTATTGTTGTTCCATTGGGTTTCCAGTGGAACATAGGGCTTCAACAGAACATCTTCATCTCCCTTTGTCCTCTTTAGCCGGCCTTACGATTGCCCATACTGTGTGGTGAAAGCTGTCGAAGGCCTTTCCAAACTCGGTGGAGTTGAGGTAGGGAATCGGCTACCAACCCCTGATCTACTCGATGATGATACGTAGCGTTTCTATCTGGTCCTCACATGATTTGCTTTTATTGGAGTCGGTTAGAGTTCTGCACCCAGCACATGTTTTAGTCTCTCCAGAAGGACGCGACTTGATATTTTGTTTAACGTGGACAGTTCTTGCATAGGCCTAAGCCACGTTTCTCAAGTAGATTGACAAGGTAGCTTTCCTTCCAATCAATATGTATCTTTCCTTCCTTCCAAACGTTTTAAAATAGTGGAGTCAGCATATCCGCTAGGACCCCTGAATCAGTTTTCAGTGCTTCCGGGGGAATTCCGTCAGGTGTTGCTGCCTTTCCGTACCTCCCTAGCTTCATCACATTCAAGACTACTGCCTTCGTTGGAGGATTAGTGTCCACTTGCAGCTCTGTGGTGGTCAATTCAAGAGTCCTTGAAGTGGTCAACCCATTACTTTATTTGTCTATCTTCTTTCCTAATTCGGTCGGTCGGTCGGTTTTCGACATAGAACTTTGCACATATGTGCGGCAGTTCAAGTCGCCACAATCCATGTAGCACGCAAAGCAAGAGAAGAAAGTAGAAGAAATGCATAATATAGACAGTAAACAGAGGTGTGAGACAAAGGAATAGTAATAACGGAGAACAAAACAGTTTAATTGGAAATCATAAGTCACAAGGAGTGGATGCATCTGCGCCACTGAGAACGATTTTGAGCCATGTCACCAATTGTTTCCAACCATTGGTTTTTACCATCCCGAGGACCCCAACCAGGAAGTCTACATCTTCCTACGTGGCTTAGACTAACTGTTGTGGATTTCATTGATTGGTGCCATGTTTTCGTTTGACCGCCGCTAGCTCTTTTCCAGCCTGGCCCTATATCAGCTAACATTGCCCGTCGAGGAAGGCGATGACGAGGCATACGTAGCACATGTCCTAACCATCTCAGTCGAAGTAATTTCACCGTTTCGTCGATTGATTTCCCTGCCTTACCTAGCACTCGACGCCTAACCTCAATATTGCTCACCTTATTATACCACTTCACGCGGGAGATAGAACGCAGACACCTATGATCGAACACAGATAATCTTTTCATGTCTTCTGTTCTCAATGGCCAGGTCTCACAGCCATAAAGGAGGACGGAGCGGACTGTTGAGCAGTACACACGCCCTTTGGTCGATAGTCGGATATCGCGTCTACGCCAGAGACGGCGTAAACTGGCGTATGCGAACTTAGCCCTCTGTATTCGTGCTGAGATTTCGTCTGAGATCAACCCGTTGGGGCTGATGGTACTTCCCAAGTAATTGAAGCGGTCAACGTGTTCTACCACTTCACTTCCTATTTCTAATCTAGGGGTCGGTGAAGTCCAATCCTGCAGCATCATCTTACATTTTACAGGGGCGAATCGCATGCCAAACATACGAAGATTGTTGCTCAAGGTGTTCAGCAGACTCTGCATTTTGTCAGAGTCCTCGCCTAGAAGGACTATATCGTCCGCATGTTCTAAGTCAACGAGATTATTCCCTGGTAGCAAGTCAATCCCTGAGTCGCTGAAGTTACTTAGGGTTAAGTCCATTAGTACGTCTATGATGAAGTTGAATAGGAATGGGGATAATGGGCATCCTTGACGGACGCCACTAGTCGTCACCACTTCAGATGACAACTCGCCACAAGCCCTCACCTGGCTGCATGAGTACGAGTAGAGTGCCTTAATCAGTGCAATGTATTTTCTTGGCATTCCCTTTACAGCCAAGCATCGCCAGAGAACCTCCCGGTCGACAGAATCGAATGCCGCCTTTAGGTCAAGAAATATAATGATTGTCGGACGCCGGTAGGAATGCCTATGTTCTAGAATCTGTCGAACGGTGAAGATATGATCAATACACCCTCTACCTGGCCTAAAACCTGCCTGGTTTTCCCGTGTTTGTGCCTCCCGAGCACCACTTAGTCTACGCAGTATTATTGAGCCTAGGATTTTAGATACTATATTAGTCAAGCTAATCCCTCTGTGATTATCACAAGAAGACTTGTCTCCCTTCTTGTATATCGGGATGATCAGTGACTTACACCAACCTGATGGGACTTCCTCTGATTCCCAGACGCTGCCTAGAACCTCCGTTAACGCAGACAGTAAACTGTCTCCACCGTACTTAAATACCTCTGGAGTCAATAAATCAGGTCCCGCTGCTTTGCCTTGCTTCAGATTAGTGACAGCTTTAGTAACCTCAGTTAAGGACGGAGGACCTGTGTCTATCTCCCATTCAGGAAGGTGTTGGATGTCCGGCAGGTTAAGTGTTGCTGTGGGCCAATTAAACTGCTCCTCATAGTGTTCTTTCCAGCGCTCCAGACGTCTATCCTGGGAGCTAATTATGGTGCCATTTTTCTCGGAGATTGTTTCGCTTATCATTTGCCTTTTACCACCTGTTTCCCTGATAAGCCTGAATAGTTGTCTGGTGTTGCCTATCGCCGATGGTTTTTCCATCTCTTTCGCCTTTGTCAACCACCACTGTTCACGGTCCTTGCGGAGACTTTTCGTAAGTTTCTTTTTGTGCAGCTTTCGCTCCTCATTGAATTCGGAGCTCGCCGGAATAAGTCTTCTAGCATCTATCAGTTCGGATGAGGCAGTCGAAATCCAATGGTTTTTACTCACCCTTGGATTTACCTTATTCACAGCATTTACAGCTGTATCTATGGCTGACTGAATATTCTTCCAGGCTTCTTCAGGGTGAGCACAGCTGTCGAACTCAGATATGTGTTTAGCTAGTTCTTCCTCAAATAGGGACTTAGTTTCCTGATCGAGCTGGGGACGTGATGGGTTTACCGCCAGCTGTTTCCTACGTCCGTTCAGTCGTAAGCACACACGGGCGCGGACCAGTGCGTGATCGGTATCTACACACGTGTTCCAGAAGGAGCGACAATCCCCTACCGACCCACGCCAACGATAGCGTATTGCTATGTGGTCTATTTGTGTCCAGCGTTGATTTGATGATGGGGGTCGCCAGGTCAAACAGTGTCTCTCTTTGTGTTTGAAGTTAGTGCTTACAAGAAACAAATGATTATCTGAACAGAACTGTAGGAGACGGTGACCGTTGTCGGTTCGCTGGCACGGAATTCCGTATGTGCCACCGACATTCTTCTCAGATTGACACAATTTCCCTACTTGAGCATTAAAGTCACCAGCTAAAACGACTATATCTGAGCGTTTAGCCTTTCGCAGCAAACTAGACAGCTTTTGGTAGAACTCATCCTTCGTTTCATCCGAACTGCAGTCAGTGGGGGCGTAGGCGGAGATTACGAAAAGGCATCGGCGGGTAGTGCAGTCCTTTCTCCTTTTCACTGATCCGTTCAGGCGGACAGCACACAATCGGCTATCTACCGGGATCCAGTCAAGTAATGTCTTTTCTGCTCTGGTACTTAAAGCTATCCCAACACCAGCTAATCCTCGTGAGCTAGCCGTCGCATCTCCTGACACCCGCAAGGGGAATTTTGCAGATTCATCCTGTTGGCCAGGTGCGGCTAGGTGAATAACCACGCTTGGGTCTTGTATGCGTGTTTCTGAAACACAACATACATCAATGGCTCGGGATGCCACAGTCTTGGCTAGTGATGCTTGTTGTCCAATTTGGCAAAGCAACCTAACATTAAATGCTCCTATATAAAATTGGTGGCGTGGTTTTAGGAGACCATTGGTGGTGGCTTTTTGGCTTCCATCGTTATCAGTGCACACAGAGTGAAGAGAAAGTGAAGAGCCAACAAGTAGAGGAGTTGCATTGGTAGAAGGAACGCAAGATAATACAGATGAAGATGAAGACAAAGATGAGCGAGGATTAGAGAGGTTTCGCGTGCACTTCGGATTGTGAGGGCGATTGTTACTTCCCGGCTGCCCACACCGTGGAAGTTGGTTGCGTGACCGCAGAGCCCAGGGGACAACTGCTTGAGGCCGGTCACACACGGCCTCTTTCCTAATTAGGTTCCCTTGAACATCTTTTATAGATATTCCCTGCGTTGATCTCTTCCCAGATAGAGACGTGGTTATCTGATATAATGCTTTGAGGTCTCTTTTACCTGCGGCCTGCTTGTTCTGCTCCAGTTGCAAGTGTGTCGTAGAATCGTCTTTCGTCTTTCTTGCCATTCTCTTTCACCTCTTTATTAAGTGCAGTGTTCATTGAAATCAGCTTCTCTTATTGTCCATCTTTGCATTGAGTCATCTGTTTTACCATCCTCCTCTCCTCCACTGGCTTCCAGATATCCCTTGAGAGCCACTGCGTGTTGTGTCCCTTCTTTCCTCCAAGAACAGTTATACGCGTTTCCTCGAACATCACATTCAAACAGTTCCATTGTCCTTCCACACAGGTTTCCTCAGAGATCCTACGTAATGTCTCCCACTTTGCTCTGATGGCTGCAAAATTGTCATTTGTAGTTTCGTCTTTCAGTTTTAGGGTTTTACTATTATAATTATTGTTCACTTGGGCTCCGAGTGGAACATATGACTTCAACAACACGTCTCCACTTTGTTCTGTTTCCTGTTGGCCTATTTAGCTGGCTCCATGTTTGCCCATAGTCTCTCATCTCAGTTTTAGAGTGTTGAACTTGAGTTGTGCACTGTCTGAAGTTGTTCCGGAGGCTTTCGTCTTGATCTTGAGGGTTCCTTGAACTAGATAATGGTCTGAGTCCACAGCTGCTCCTCTTCTCAACTTTGCATCCAGTAGGTTGCGTGTCCACCTCCTCAAGATTGAGATGAAGTCTATCTGGTTTGTGATGTGTCTATTAGGAGAAATCCATATCACCTTGTGTACATGCTTGTGCTTGTGCACGCTACCTCCAATCACCAAATCACTGAATGGTCAGAAGTCTTCGAAGAGTTCTTCTTTCTCATACATTTCTCTGGGAGCTTATGAATTTTTTTATCACTACATTTGATATCTGTCAGCCCTTGCTTGAACTTACATTCACTGTTCCCCATTTCTGAGTATTTGTTTGTATGTATTTCCCGGTAATCATTTTCCTCACACACTATGGAACATAGCTAACTTCTCACCCCCAATGAAACTTATACTCTGTTGACTACAAATACACTAGTACGTCACTCAGTTGTCTATTTTTACACTTCATCTTATGTTCTGAATGACTGTATATTTTATATACGTTCATTTGATAATATTAAATAACGGACTATCACTCCACATTAAACATGTACCCCGATACAGTTTGTGATAGAATTTTCACATAGCTTTAATGGCTATTTCTATTCTAGTAGTCATGAATTTATAACTACAGAACTTGAAGAAGAACTTATCGAAAGCAATTGTTCACCCAAAATCATCTTGTTCTGATTACACTATGGGGACTTTTATTTTTTTGGTTGCAGGATTTCATCATAAGCTGACATTGGCTAGAGAACTATTGGAAAACCTGGGAGTACTGGACAGCTGTATAATCCTAGTTTGGGACTTTTCAGCAGTACGCACCCACCGGTGTTCAAACCCAGGACCTTCTGGTTACAAGGCGAGCCCGTAGACTATTAAGCCACTGGGACCCGATCCAATGGTCCATGAATTCTAACTTCTACCAATTCGCGACATAGCGCGACCAATAGCCAATGTCTATACACTTTGAAGTTTCTCTAGGGACTGGATTGACTTTCTGGAGTAGTGTTGCTTGCCGCACACCCAACCTTTCCTCATTTTTCGGGCTTGAAACTACCTACAAAACTATAGAACCAGTAAACTAGACGAAGTTGACTGTTCATAATGGCAGAGGAATTTTATTCCCTAATTATCAACTTCCAGATTCGGAATATCTTCAGTTGATCTCCATTCAGTTATTCGTTTCTCTTGATCCATGTTTCCTTTTATCATATTATCATTATGTTTCTATCCTCGTATTCTAGATTCTTCTTCGAAGTGTGACCAACTGAATTGTAGCACTTCAACGATCATTAGGGCGAACTATGAAACCAAATGAATGATTAAATAAATAAATAAAATAAATGAATAAATTATTCTCGAAATGTGATCCAGTTATTAGTATTGCCTCATTGTGTGTTTTATCAAATAAGGTTAAACAATATGGAGTTATACTCTCCCACGGTGCCCACATTATACTACTACATTAAGTTTCGTAATGCTTCATAGATAAGGGTTAGGATAAGAATTAGCGTTTAAGAATTCCCCAAACAACATGTCAGAAATATTGAAATTCCTTTATGCTGAGTTTCTATGAATATATTCCTGAAGTACAGTGGTAAATACTATGACTAGATGGAGGGGAATGTTACGGTAAATGTTTAATTCTAAAAGTCTATCAAAAGTTTGGAGTCATCCTATTTCAAACTTTAGGCTAGTAAGACGGTTCAAACAAACCATCATCATGATTTAAAATCAGCCAGAGTGTAACGGTAAATAATTCCTCAAAATGATCAGTCTACAGTGTTTTTCATTCAGCGTTGCATGTCGGCCTTCAATATTTGAGTTGACTTATCAGACAGAAGGTTATGCATCCACGCCACATGTCACGTTCGCTCGTCTACGCATTATCCCTAACTTGTTAAGCAATCATCATTGCTCCATAATTCTGATTCCGAAATAGATCTCGTATTTTGTGCGATTAACTTGTTGTTTTGGTTTGTCTCTGATTTCAGTAGAACAAATACCTCAAGAGTTATGGAATAAACACTTGCGTTTGTGTACAGCGCATCTTGCGTGACCGTCACCATCCATCATCTCCTACGAGAGAGAAAATGAAAGTCAAATATCACTAGATTACCGTCTATCAAGTGTTGGTGGACTACATCACAAACTGACATGAGTTAAAGGACTGCTGGAGACCATGGACAATTGCATAAGCGTTCCGTCCTAGTTTATAGCTATTCAACAGCATATATCCATAACCGAATTAAAGACCAAACGCAGGACCTTCAAGTTAAAAGGCAGCTAGACTACCATTCGGTCGCTATATCTTTGTTTGACACTGGTGGCTAGTTAGAGGTGAGAACTCAAAGCAATCATATCACGGTTTAACCATGAATATAAAATAACTAATCACGATTTAAAGAAGTAAAGACTACCTGGTGTATTAGGTGATCGTGATCCTCTTGTCTAGATAATATTGTCAACTTTTGACGTTTTTTTTGAGCTTGTTCATCTTTTAATAAAGCGTGCGTTGATCTAAGCTCAGAAATAAGTTCACGACGTTTTTCTTTACCTTCATACATTTGTGTCTGTATAGCACGTCCACGGATTAAACTTTGCAATACAGTGGCAGCTAATTCATGTTCTTCTGATTCTTCCTATGATTAAAGATTATAATTTAAAATAATTTTCAAATTATGAAATAAGAACCAATATATAGATAGCGTTTATAAAAATGGTTGTTAGGAAAATGATGCATTTCACATTCATATAAAGAATCCATGGGTGTTAGATAGGTGTCTCGTCCTAATTTGAGATCTGCGAATATTACAAAAGTTGTTCCTTATTCCTAGATTTCAGGCATGATTCCAAACAAGGACTATCGGAGGTAGCTTACATATTTTTTGGTACTCACAAACTGAAAACGTTGATCCATCTCCTGAGGATCCATGCTATCTTATTCAGTGCAACAAACATGTTTGAAAACTGCATTTTCACACTCGAATGAATCTGACCAAACTCTGTATTCTTTCTGTCTAACCTACTATGTCTGTAAACTCCTGTGTGTTACTTTTCCAAATATGCAAAACTATAGTTGTATTGGGAGCTTATTGTCTTATTCTTGATTAACACTGTTTTCTGCATCATTTATATTTTACCACATCCACCCATAGTATTCATAGAGGTTTGATCGACTGATTTCGTGTGTATGTGAATTGAACCTGGCAAATCAGCCATTTTTCTAGCTGACAGAATGAACACACATCACTTCCAGCGAATCCTTTCCTAACTTTTTCGACTGTTATTAGAATTCATTGGGATTCTAGTAGGTATCATACCGGAAATCAGTTAGTGTTCTTGCATTCTGTAAGCTCGATGGTTTAATAACGAAGCTTTCATTGTAATCCTATACAACATTTTCAGAGATAACTTAAGTTTGAAGACAGCTTTCGGAATTCTCTTTATGAGTGAAACAGGCGTCTTCCCAAGTGACCTTGACTGTCCGTCTCCAAAATCAGCGAACCACCTTGAATTTAGCACTAAAAACAATGAAAGATTTGCAATTAAATCATCCAGCTCAACTAACACAACATCAGTGGCAGCAAATATATCCACCTGAGAAACCAATCTTCTCCATTTTTTTAAACAATGAAGATGTCATGTAAAAAATAGTGATCGAATAACTTTAGTTATCATTTTATTTACAGTAACTTCAACATAACCTTGTATGAAAAAAGAAGTAGAGAAATGTATATTTCCCATGGATTAACATTTGAAACGATAAAGTTATATTAACACTTACACTAGTCGGTGGAGAAATACCCGGTGTCAGTGGGCGTGGTATAGGCTTTTCAATCTTTTGTAAAAATCTCGGTTTTCTTACAATATTATTCTCTTCATTCAATGATGTCTTCAGCAAATACTGAAAAAAATAAGACTTTTCTGTACAGAAAGCTGTGTTACAAATGTTATTACTATTAATAAACACATTAATAACATGTGCTTTGTTTGGTGAAACAAACAGAGATGAGTCACAATTTATGCGAACATATCGGAAATTCCGGCTATATTGCAGTTAAATTATGTAAGTCTTAGGGAAATGAAAGTAGCTACAGATCAAACCTATCATAAAATATAGGATATTATGAATAGCTAAATTATAAATTATCACTATAACCATTAAAGGTACAGCAGCTGGATGGGGCAGTATTATGTGGAGATTCAGTTAGTATTTAACTTCAAGCCTTCCGGAAGACGAGTTTTTACTTCGTCCTTAGATAATAAATATACATATATCTGTGATCTGTGCAATACTTCCATTACTGCTGAAGTGAACAAGACTGGTGAATGCGGGGAGAGTAAATTGGGAAGTTGCTGTGCGATTTCTAAAGCCTTACAAGTGAAGCAAGTTAGATGTAAATTTCCATGGATATCTAACTATAACATATCACATTCAGATTCAAGAAAATTCAAGAAAAAGTTCGCAATCAGATAAATTGAACCTAAATAATATGTGAAGACAAGCTACTGCAGTTAGTCATCACAGAAGGACACACCTTCAGCAATGAATCCTTTTTTTAGCTGGCGGAAATTAATTATGGTGAGATTACCTGAGATAGTCTATTGTGATCATAAGCAAACAGTGTAGTACCATTTATTGGTACAACATCTGAGAATTACCCATCTGGGGTTGGTTAGCAGGTGGATTTCGAAGCTTAGATTGGAGGGCGCTGAAAATTAATCAGTAAATTAGAATCTGTCTTTCAATGAATCATATCAAATAATCAGAGTACATCCAATAGATCCAAGCAGCCAAGTGAAGACAAGTTTTATCACTTCAGTCAAACGAAAGATACCAAAAATCCATTGTAATCAAACCTTCTTGACTTTGTTTAGACACGGAATTACCCTCGCAACAAACCGCGCATTTAAAAAGTTGTTATTCAGTAATGCAGTTGTTCACTTTCCTTTTGAGAAAGTTGAATTCAAAATTCTATCAGTTATATTGCATATCTGCAACCACTCCCGCTGAATTCGGGTAAAGTAGAGTACTATAAATGAGCATTCACAGTCGATCCACTTCGTTTGCTGATGAAACACTGGTGTAAAAATGATGCTATGTAGCATCATCATTGGACGTGTATAGATCCAAATATCGCTCTGAATATCGGAAACTTAACGTTTGTTGAAATGACGGCAAAAACTTCTATCCAAACAAAATTAGGTAATATAATGTTAGTATCGTGAAGCTTATCAGGAATCTATCATGGACTATCCGTAGCATATTATGAAACCACTTCTTGGAAGACATTAAGGCTAACATTGGTACTGAACTAATGTAATCGGATCTTCACTTAAGAAACTAGTCACACTCAATACTTCGTCCATTTATGACTGACAAAGAAATGCCCATTAGAAGTACAAAGTTGGGATCAAATAAAGCTTCTGTAAATAATAGTACAGAGTCTGAGCTTAAAATCTATTGGTAAAAGCTTTTCAGCCAAAGTAAAAAAGATAATACAAGTACCAGATGTTTAAAACAGATCAGTTATGTAAACATATTAGCTAGAAAGGCACAATTTCTATAATCTTTCTTGACTACATCATTCTTTACAGTGTTGCTTCCAGACAGTGGATAAATCCAAATTTGACAAAAAAGTATGGGAACATCTATTTAAATGTTAATGAATAGTAACAGGTGTGGAGCAGTTCAACCACTTGTCGTCTTAACCCATTCTTGGAGGAGATGTCGTTAACTTCCAAAATATTTAGGTGCTAAATTCAGCGATCAGAAGTGCACAAAGTGGATTTACGTATCTGAAAAGACTTGAATTTTTTTAAGACTGGAGAATAATCAGTATCGATGACTGTAAAATTTAGGTTTCCAGCTTTACACCAGTTAACTTCTGATACCTCATATTTAAAAATAGTTAATGACAGTAATATACTTTTTAGATTGAGGAACGTATAGTAAATTTGACCAATCAGTCCTCATCATCAGTCAACACTGGATAGTTATTTTATCAGTCGTTCAGCAACCAACTCATTCACTTCATCATACCCTAACAGACTGACAAATGAATTGGAAACGAAAACTTGGCTTGTGGTAAGGGTGGAATCAGAAGTCCCCAAGATTACTGGTATTTCGATCTATTATTTGAGATATCGATACACTAGCTCTTATGTAAACAAGAAATATACTGCCGCTATCCTATAGCATTCAATCAGTCGACACAACTAAGACTGTCTAACAAAGCCGTTAGCTTAGCAGTTAAATTAGGATAGTACAGTATTGTGTAATAGTAAATCTGATATTATTAGCAATAATTTCGATGACTGAAGTTAATGAGGATGATAACCCGGACCTTGGTCTTTTACTTGTTGACACTGGTTAAGATGACGTCTTCGAGACCTCTCAAGAAGTGAACGAAGCCCATCAGGGATATGAACTCTACACTTGTTCAACATTTAGTACGAGTCCGGCATATTCACTCAAGATGCAAATTAATTTATATAAGTACAAAAACTTTCACACAACCAGTTCTCTTCGTTAATTTGAACAAAGAAATAACCAACATGTCTATAGGATAGTACGAGCAAGTTTTACTTCATCGATTTTTCTCAACTGAGTACATTCTAAACAATATCAAAGTATAAGTTACACAGTTTCTGAACATACTTTTCTTACAGGGACGTCGAGTTGTAGATAGAAGGTGTAAGCAACATAATTGCACAAATGATGTAAGCAGACAGATTAATTAGTGTTAAAAGACTAACTATTTAGTGAATTAATGATCCCCATAGTGTAATCAGAACAAGATGATTTTGGGTGAATAATTGCATTCGATAAATTCTTCCTAAGGCTCTACATTAATAAATCGATAAATATTATAATATAAATAACCAGTCATTACAGGCATGGGAAAATTAGATCGGAAACTGTATTGGGGTGCATATAATAATCTGCAGTGATAGGCTGTTAGTTAACATTATCAATTAAATGTATACAAAGATAAGATAAAATGTGAATAGACAACTGAGTGACGTACTAGTGTATTTGTAGTCAACAGAGTATAAGTTTCATTGGGGGTGAGGAGTTAGTTATGTTCCATAGTGTGTGAGGAAAATGATTACCGGGAAATACATACAAACAAATACTCAGAAATGGGGAACAGTGAATGTAAGTTCAAGCAAGGGCTGACAGATAACAAATGTAGTGGTAAAATGAAGAGGTTAAATTATGAACTATTTTTATTTTATTTATTTTTTATTTTATTATAGCTTGATTCCACACAGTATTTTGGTACAAGTATGAAATTTTCAGCATGTGATATCGGTAGCCCAAATTTAGTAGGCCGACCATAGATATCAGGTGTGTGTCGGCGAGGAATTGAACCTCGGACCATGTGCATGGTCGGCGAAAGTCCTAACCGCTGTGCCACCGACGCACCATGAGAAGCTTCAATACTATAGAAAATTTTGCATTTCCCAATGAATGAAAAGCAAAACGATATTGTTTTGTTTATCTTTTATAATAATGAATATCACACATACTGTTAAAAGTGAACTTTGTTTGGACATAAGAAAAAATAACTTTTCTGTATAAATTAAAAATAAACAAAGACCTACATTGTGCAACTCGGCTAATTCTTCTTGATGACGGTATTCCCGTCTTAGAAATCCATCTTTAGTATAAATAACTGGCTTTTTTATTTTGATTCTTGGTTCAAAGACAAAGCGTGGTAAACTGGCTTCTAAAGCAAGTAAACCTTTATTTTTTTTTTAAAAACCAAAGGAAAAAGGGTAATTAAAAAAAAATTCATGAAAAAGCTAAGAGATATATGCAGGGACTCTTTAGTTCTTGGGTTGATTCTTTTTTAAACGACCCTGAAAAAGTGATAGGACAAGGGGTGGGGTATTATGACTTATTGTTTACCTAAGCTTTACATGAAACATTTGATCCTTATGCAGATTAATGGTCAGGTCAGCATATGTTTACTGGTGCACGCTGGGCAGTAGAAACATAGATTTATACCTTAAACTAGCAATTTACTGATTATGTAAAATAAATATTTTTTTATTCATTACAGCTTGATTCCACACCGTATATTCCATACCTGTATCAAAGATACAGGTATGGAATTTTCACCATGTGATTTCGGTAACCCAAATTTCGCAGGCCAACCATAGATATCAGGTGTGCGTCAGCAAGGGATCGAGAGTCATAAACTCTGTGCCACCAACGCTGTAAATCCTAGTGGCTCCGCAATCTCCAGAAAACATTGGAATTTAAAATTCGAAGGATTATTGGGCGACTAGGAACTGATTGGCAGGTAGCTTAGTTATTAAGGTGTCGTTTGTTGCTGACAGCCTTCTGCCAATTAGTGCGTAAGTAGCTGTGACACAACCAACACAAAGCTTGAGAAAATTTGTAAAATGTTAACTTACTCCATCAAATGTACGTGAGTTCTGAATTTTACTGCATATGGTACTTCATGGTAACAACACACGTAGACCAGCGAAGAGACTGTTTTCGGCGAATTCATTTTCTTAGCTGTACAATCGCAAATATATATGTGTTATTTTGTATGTATGTGTACATTAAGTTTGTCAAACAAAAATACAATTGGTTATAGTTATTTTAACTAAACAGGTGAAGATTGGTATTTGGAGTTACGTAATACAAAATCAGTCAAGAAAATTAGGTGTTAGTGAAATTAGGGTAGTAACAAAGGTGATGAATTGTCACAAACAGTTGTTAAAAGAAGTTATGTAATAATATGAATAGTTTGATGAGTGAGTTTTACTCAGGATGCACATAGGAACAAATTAGATAATACGAAATCACGTAAGAGTTCTAAATGAATACAAGAATTATAATCAATTAAAGAACAGGCAAAGAAACAAAATTAAGCCATCAAAATCAAAAAAGTTGTTACCAAGACAGTAGAAGTGGTTGTGTAATCCTCTTTTGTATGCACAGCTCCGGTTTTTCTATGTGAATGGCCAGAGCTTCAGCGATACAAAGAAGGATTTTTATTAATAAAAATCCGAATAAATCTGCTGAAGAAGCTGTGGCTTACACAGCGAAACGTTCAGAAAAATCTCGTTTTGATTTTCTTAATACGCTGGGATTAATTTAAATAATTTATAATGAATCAATCTGACTCGGCGCTCACATTATTCCAGGAAGTTCGTAACACCTACGGCCTGGAAACCTATAAACTCTACATGAACCTGGATTTCAAGGGAGATTTAGCAAGCGATATTCTCAAGAGAAGGATCACATCATCTCTGAGAACATTCTTTGCAGTAACGATAAGAATAGTGTTCTCCAGTCGCCCACTGATCTACAGAAGCGTCAAGGACAAGATCCCGCATCTGACCACTTCTATGTGCATATATCAGTTCACCTGCTGCTGTGGAGCCAGGTATATCGGTCGTCTGACGCGCACCCTGTTCAAGAGGATTCAAGAACTCTATCCAACATGGTTGCGAAAAGGCAATACTGGTGCAATAAGGAGTGCGATAATTGAACACCTGGTTAACACTGATCATTCCATTTCAACAAACGCCTCCTTCAAATTAATCTACAGAGTGAAGGAGAACCTATCAAAGGCAATACGGTTTCGCCTTCTTTGTATCGCTGAAGCTCTGGCCATTCACATAGAAAAACCGGAGCTGTGCATACAAAAGAGGATTACACAACCACTTCTACTGTCTTGGTAACAACTTTTTTGATTTTGATGACTTAATTTTGTTTCTTTGCCTGTTCTTTAATTGCTTATAATTCTTGTATTCATTTAGAACTCTTACGTGATTTCGTATTATCTAATTTGTTCCTATGTGCATCCTGAGTAAAACTCACTCATCAAACTATTCATATTATTACATAACTTCTTTTAACAACTGTTTGTGACAATTCATCACCTTTGTTACTACCCTAATTTCACTAACACCTAATTTTCTTGACTGATTTTGTATTACGTAACTCCAAATACCAATCTTCACCTGTTTAGTTAAAATAACTATAACCAATTGTATTTTTGTTTGACAAACTTAATGTACACATACATACAAAATAACACATATATATTTGCGATTGTACAGCTAAGAAAATGAATTCGCCGAAAACAGTCTCTTCGCTGGTCTACGTGTGTTGTTTTCATTAATGCCTGAATGGGGATTATACATGAACTTAATGGTAACTCTGATGGATAATCCAAGAGCCTCTAACTAAGGAAAACCCAGAAGGCTTTGTTTCAATACAGCAATATAGCAATTCATTTTTATGACAGTATTTAGGAAGGAAACTGAACAACAAATGTTAACTCCTAGTGGTAACTTCCGCGCAAATGTACTGATTGCAGTTTGTAAAACTTTCTGAATTGCAAACTATCTCATCTTTAAACGCAACTGTTTAGAGATAAGCGTGATATCTGACGCTGAATCGGCCAATAACCCAACTAGATGTTCGTCTATTCAGACACTTGTAAACTCTTTGCAACAATGTGAAGTAGCTATGAGGCTAAGATATTTATCTACTGTTCGACAATGAGATATTTAGCAGTGACTGGAGGATGACCGCAATGAGTATCTTTGTGTTACTGGAAAAGACCATCCTTGTGTCCAACAGAAGTACAGTCTCAGCACTGATGTTATTTATACAGACAAGATTTGCCACGCACCACAATGCTAGTAGGATGATGAAAGGGTCTTTTTTCAACTACATTTGGTTTGCGTGAGTAACTGGGACGATGAACGGTCAAATTAGGACCAGGGGAAGCCTCGTCAGAAGGTAATGTGAAGGTATGTAATGTATTGAGAAACTCATGTACTTGATGAGCACTCTGAAATTTGAATTGGGCTAAGCACTTACCATGCTGTTTGTTGGTCAATCGTTGATACTGAGGAAATGTCATTTGGTTTTACCATAGGATGTTGTTCGAAGCAGTTCAGCAACGTCATTCTAACGTTAGCGAAACTAGATGACTATAGGCTACAGAGAATGTGTATTATTGATTTCAGCCATTAGTCTGTCACATGTTTTACTTAAATCGCTCATAATCACATACGTGTGAAAATCTACATACTTATTGATGATTAGCTTAAGACAAGAATATAGAGAATTGAAGAGGAATGATTAATCCCCAAAGTCTTGTCTTAATGACTGCAATGTGATAGCAGAAGTGTGATCGTCTGGGTGTTGCGCCGAATTATATTGCAATCATGGTCAAATTCAGATGGATGCACTTCCCAGAAATTATCTTCGTCAGTGAAATCTATTTGGAAACCGTCGTCATACGGCATGAACCATCTTTCAAATGTAACATTGATATTAGGATCATAGTGGACTTCAGTAATGTTACTATCGAATCCATTGACTGAAGGTGCTGTTACAGCTGGAGTAGGCCTGGATGATTCAAAACTAAGAAAATAAATCATGCCTTCTCGGTCAGTCTTTTGCATCTTTTCGTCGTGTGAATAGTAGTGGAGTGATCAGCAGTCGAGCGTTGAAGTTCAAGTTAGAACAAAATTCAGTAAATAATAAAGCGATAAAGCCTGATTTCCATTGTCGTAGATAGTGGCAGAAAGAGGCTGAAAGTGAATTAGGCATTTTAAGTCACTGGCTGCCCAGGCAAAAGTTTCTGTGTTTCAAAATTAGATGTATGTCGTTATGTGGACATGGCAATTATGTTGAACAAACTGGCACTTTATACAAATTATCTAATCACTAATGTAGCATAACCTTGTGCATGTGAGAAAGAAGTAGAGAGAACGCATGTATCTCTGATGTATCTTTGTCTTATAAAAATGACCGTGTAGTTTCAGACAGTGTGTGTCGGTGGCATAGCGGTTAGAACGCTCGCCGACCATGCACATGGTCCGGTTTTTGATCCCTTGCCCACTCACTCCCTTACCTCGCTAGGCCAGTAATAAAACTGGTGAAGAGGAAAGGTTGGGCATGAGGCTAGCAACCGCATCCTATAAAAAATAAACACTGCAACAGAAACTCTAAGTGTCTAGCTTGAAGCCCTATGTTCCACTGGGAACGTGAAGGAATGAAAAAAAGTTTCAGACAAGTCATTTTCTTTTGGAGAAGTAGAATGTGCCAAGAGAAAAAATTGTTTTCTATATTCGGTTGAGATGCAATACCAAAGAAGCTGAATAAGAGCAGTGACAGAGGGAATCACTGACTGAAACTGGTGTCTGTTGTCACTTCAGATGATGACTATCCATCATCTCTTACACAACTGTAGAATTTATAGTCGCGCATCTTATTCAGAAAAATATACTTTCTCAGAGCTGTCTTCATAGCCACCCATTGATGCCGCATCTCTCAATCGACGGATTCAAACACCGCTTTCAGTCTATGAAATACAGTAAGTGTCGGAAGCTGGTAAGGAAAAAATCAGTAAAATATTCACAAAACCTGAAGAAAAGAAAGGACTTTAAAAATAAAATATAAAAGTGCAATGAAATTCGACAGTTCAGTCTGGCCGTAAATAAGTGCCAAAATCTAAATATAAATAAATTCGTTACTTTCGTTACTTATGCAACTAGCTTTGTTTCACACTATCTCCTTCTCGGTAAGCATTTACTCAAACTTCAGATCTCTAAGATAATCCCGGTCTAGCTTACTGTTAACAGTCTAATGACGAAATGATTAAATCTGAAACAAAGTTAAATTTCAAGAAATAATCTGTTACTTAACGTTACTATTACCTTCATAACTGGTTAAATACGCATTTTTGACAACATAACTTTCAGAACTACGATCTGGAAAGACACCAAGACGAGTAAGTGGAGCAAATACTTGAGATGAAGGCGTTGCGTAATCACTGATTACATCACGTTTAAATTTGAATTCTTTACTGGCTATTCGACGTTTCAACAATTTACGCAGCTCTGTAAGCAATAAAACAAAACAATGTTGATTCAAAATTAGAAGAAATTAAGATTGAATATAAACGGTGCATCGTTACGCTATTCAAATACATTAGAATAAATGTTTCCAAACCCTAGTTCAATTATCATCTTTTGAGTGACTAAGCAACATGTCTCATACCGCCATCAAAAATAGAAGATACCACTCAATAATGTGCAGATCAGCTACAGGAAACCTGATAAGTCAGCTCTACCAAACTGCATTTTTTTCAGAAACTGCATACAATTCTTTCCCCCGACGAAACTGAACGAATTAAGGACAATATAGCGAAAGTATTCATTGACATATAGAAGAAAACTTGAGAAAAGAATATTCTTTTCGATAATTTCCCTTCCCGGCTACGAAGTTATATATATATACATATAAATATTCTAGAAGAATCGCTTTTAACAATATTTGTATTTTTAAATACTACCGAATTGTTAAGATTAATAAAATTACAGTCCAAGAAAGACGCTAATAATAAGCACAAAAACGTAATAGCAAATAAAATATCAAACAAAATTAAGGAAATCTCTACAGCAAATTGAGGATCATTAAAACCTTGATGGCCGAAGTAAGGAAAGTGTCTAAACCATCTTTTTCTGGATGTATAAGTTGGGTTTCTTAATGTATATCCCAACAGCCTCAGCAATATGCAACAGACGAACTCTTGAGCTAAAGTTAAGATTTGTTGGTATGCGGTGAATGACTTTGAAAGCCTCGTTAACATCAGTCCTGTGTTCTGTGTCTACAAGATGAGATAGAATAGAGCTATGAATGGATTTCGTTTGTCCTTTACTTAACCATGCAGGGTGATGTCGGGAAATCCGAGGACAAACACGCCTAATTGTACGACTTTAGCAACTAACTGGCTGCACAGGAGCAGTCAAATTGGTAGATACACATAGAATAAATGGAGCAGAATAATACGATATCATTTTATTTCGCTGGATCTTGTCAACCGTGTACAACCTTAAACAGTTTCATTATTCACCCATTTCAATAGATTAGTTGGGATAAAGTAACCAATAGTATGACTTAGCTGAACACAGGTAGAGTTAAAAGAAAAGAGCTACAGACGACAGTAAGCTTGTTGATATATACAGAAAACTAGAAGCGTATTCTAGAGTAAGGAAAGCAAACTGGACATCAATGAAAGGCTGCAAAACAATAAGTGTGAGTTATGTTTTGATGAATCTAAATGATTAGAATAATAATAAATTGGATGGAAGTCAAATATTTGCGTCACGATTATGGATGGAGACAGAAATAAATTAAAGGGTATGACATAACAACGTCAAAATTAACTGAAATAACAAAACTGGGATAAAATTACAATACTTTTTCGTCCTATTATGAGACCCGTCGGCAGTACACGCCATTAGGTTTCGAACCGAGGACCTTCCGGTTACAAGGCAAGCTTGTAGACCATTCAGCCACTGGGACCCAATTCAGTGGCCAGCCAATGAATTCTAACTTCTACCACTTCGTGATTTCAGTGCGACCACCAACCCATTCCATCAACGGGATGGACCTCGGTGGTCAGGACTTCTCACAAGAATTCCAGGAAATTCCGTTTGTATAAAATGAACGTGTTAAAATCGTTTAAGATAATTAAAGTACTGGTTAGTTCTAGTCTATTACATGCCACCGGAGACATAACGGTTAAAGAGTTAAAACCCAGCTTGTACATTCAGAAAGAAACAGTCATTAATCTTCCCCTACTGTGGTGAGAACAAAATTTTTCAATTTTATTATTTCAGTTGATTTTGAGTGTTAATTTTAAAATCAATGGCATATCTAAGGATAAAACTTTATTCTTAATTATTAAATAACATAATTTTTGAGTGAAATAACCAGAATGCATTCAGAAGTATATCCCCTGTTACCTCTCTGATGCAGTTTTTTGACTACTTAACTAATCATAAACAAGAGCATTTGTTTAATCTTCAGGTGTTTGAAGGTTAGATCAGTTCCATAGTCGTTTTCAATGTCTATAAACATAAGACAAATTATCATTGGAAACCAAGGAGTACTGAACGGCTGTTTCGTTCCAGTGTAGGACTTTTCAGCAACGCACACCGGCAACATCGAAAGGGATCAGTTGTCAGGTCAATAGAGGAGTACGCCACCATACAACCGACAGGTTGCGGTAGAATGATCTGTGGGTTCTAATTTCTATCCAATAGCACAAATGTCAAATATGTTGTGAGTTGCCGATGAACAAATGATCTAACATCTCAATCCGATATTCACTACTTACCATTCAAGCTTCGATAATTCACCTCTAATCCAATCATGACTGTAAAGCAAATAAGTGTTTCATTGTTTTTAAGAACACAATATTCAGCGAAGAGATTCTTTCCAACGAATTTATTATCAGGCTGTACAATCGTATATATATGGTTTTTATAAAAATTATATCCAGTGAGGGAATTAGGTCAAAGGTGTGAATACATGATATAATAATAGTATGAAATGCAATTAAAATATTTGTGATTATTATCATAGTTAAGTGTCAAGTGGCAAATTAATTAATGTCGTATATAGAATAATACATAAGGTGTATAGATTTTGGAAAGGGGTACATAATTATAAGATTGGTAGACGAATATAAAATGTTACATAACATGGTGTGAAACTTGATAAGATATAATTCAATATTGTAAAAATAAAAATATAAAAATTAATAATTTTGGGTTTAAAATGTCAAGTGGTTCAAGTGGAAAAGATTCAGAGTGAGGATAGTAATAATGATAATAATAATCGTAGTAATAAGGGATAAATACATAGAATTACTAAATAGACAAAATAAATAAATAAATGCCTATCCCTCTACGGCCAAGGCAGAAGTAGGGATTGTACATACTTCTTTTGTACACAAAGGTCTGGCTTAAAGTCATGAATTACCAAGGCCTCAGCTGTCTTTAGAAGTCTGTAACGAAGAAAACGCGGGAAGTTATCATGGATTCTATAAATGATCTTAAAATCATGGTCAGGGTTGACAGAGTGACAGAAGTCGATCAGGGGTTCCAAAATAGAGCTTCGCACACACTTCCTTTCTCCCTTGTAAAACCATGCTGGAATATGTTCTCGTATCCGTGTGGAAAGGGTCCTCTGACTACGGCCAATGTACCTTGCTCCACAAGAGCAGGTGAACTGATAGATGCACATGGAGGCGGCCAGACGGGGGAGTTTATCTGTTACAGAGGTAGAGAACAACTTGCGGCTAGTGAACGTCATATGTAATTTTGCTGCATAGAACGTCTTACTGACTGATTTAGAGAGACGATTTTTGAGCATATCTGAAGCTTGATCACCTTTGAATTCCAAGTTCGTGAATAAGGTTTTCTTTGGAACTGTGTTGGTGACCAGTTTAGACTGCTTATCTTTCATGTTGCTGTCAATAAATCGGTTAGGGTAACCGTTTTCGGCGAGAGTGGCTTTTAAGAAGTCAAGTTCCGAGTCAACGGAATCAGAACTACAAATTTTCCTTATCCTAGAGCAGAGCGAATGAATTAAGTTCCTTTTCCTGGACAGTTAGGTGCCTATTTCCAGCGCAATTTTCAGCGTAAAGTGAACTTGACATTTTAAACCCAAAATTATTAATTTTTATATTTTTATTTTTACAATATTGAATTATATCTTATCAAGTTTCACACCATGTTATGTAACATTTTATATTCGTCTACCAATCTTATAATTATGTACCCCTTTCCAAAATCTATACACCTTATGTATTATTCTATATACGACATTAATTAATTTGCCACTTGACACTTAACTATGATAATAATCACAAATATTTTAATTGCATTTCATACTATTATTATATCATGTATTCACACCTTTGACCTAATTCCCTCACTGGATATAATTTTTATAAAAACCATATATATATACGATTGTACAGCCTGATAATAAATTCGTTGGAAAGAATCTCTTCGCTGAATATTGTGTTCTTAATGCTACAATGGGAATTATTAAATAATTGTTTTTAGTTCACTACTTCCTGAGATAATAAATGCACACTACTATGCAGTTCCAAACTAAGGTGAAGCCGTTATTCACTAGACCTTGATTCACAGTAATGTTGGTTAATGATGAGAAGTAACCTGAAAAGATGCATTTTTTCTTTACTAGTAACATGTGCTCACACTAGCTAATATCACAATCACTGATATATCATAAACTACCCACCTTTTGACACTTAACACAAAACAATGTTCAAGAATACTTGAATTGTAACAACAGGAGGCAAGACACGGAAACCAAAGTATATTTTCAATTGATCAAACCGCTGTTTAGAAATCTACAGTTTGTATTCTCTAACCAACCCCTGAGTGTGTGATTTCGGTTTACATCAAACAACACGAAACAGAATGTTCAAATAGACATAGCATTCTGTTACTAATGCAGCCTATAACTGTGGGGAAAGTATTCTGCCTCTGACATCAAATAGAATCTTCAAATATATATATTGTATTCTGTTGCTAATGCCGAATTTAATTGTGGGAATATGTGAGAATAATATTCCATTGGCACATATTGCCTGCATCACACCAGCACAGAATCACACGGAATACGAATAATTTATAAATTTTTCACGAATTAAAGTACCCAAATGTATTTCTTACCTGCAATATAACGATATTGTATAGCTCTACATTTTGCTTCTTTTTTTGCACATCGTTCTTGCCATGTTCTATCAAGTCGTTTGGCCATTATTTCTTGTTGACGTTCTTCACGTCTACGTAATAGTTCAGTGAGCACATTTAATCGAACTTCTTGAAGTCTTGAAAATAATATAAAATTGTTGAACAAATTTCTTAAGTTAAAGTTTAATCTTCTCTAAGTATTGATTTTTTTGATCGAGATTAGTGCCCTGATTTTGGAAAAGAGGAACATAAGTTTCCACAATGCCACATGTGTGCACTCATATAAAACTTTTGCTTAAAATGATGGCGAAAGGTGACCAGGATAGAAAGAATTCAGTTTGTAAAACAAATAATTCTGAAGAATAGTGTCATTATTTTAAGTATTTGGTGGTAATTGAAAGGAAGCCCTGAACCTAGGTTTCGTGATTACTGGTACTCGTCAGCAATTTATATCTGCATCACCTCAGTGCACAGTGATGAGTTATTCAGTCTGGTGACTAAACTACAGACTTGAGTGGTATAATTCAGTCAACATTTAGGTTAAGGATGACAAGTATAAAGATGGTTACTGCGGTGATCAATCACTGTCATTAGTTCTTATTCACAAATCTAATAATGTCAGGTAATGAAATCTAAGATGTGAATATGTGTCATTTATGGCTCGCCAGTTGAATGTACTAGCATCTCATTGGGACTTTAACACATTGCTTAATCTGCAGACGCTAGACTAAATTAACCATAATTATTTTTTAAGTGAAACCTCAGGGTGTGCTTACTGCCTGTGAGTCCCAAAATAGGATAAAACAGCTGTCCAGTACTCTCAACTGGTTTTCAATGGTTCTCTCTAACTGATATCAATCCGTGGTCTAACCTGAAAAAAAACAGAATCCCTACAAACTAATTCTTGATGTTATTTTATCAGTGTGATTTTTAATATTTTCTGCTGTGAACCGGTCAAATCCTTGACTTATATGTAAGCTGTTCATGCAGAATATTCACAAAGGTTGATCAACACAGCCTTGTAAGGCAATCAATGAATCCAATATTCTTATAAGCTCCTTGTTTGGTGGAGACTAGCAATGGGATCCGAGTGGCACTTTCGGCTCTGTCTGGAACTCATCATCTGGATACACCTGTTCTGCAGTCAGTGATAGTATTTCTATCAATACCAGATCGCAACACTTATCAACTCAAATATCAGAGCGATATCTACTATACCCAAACATATCAACGGGTAATCACAAGTATGAACAAATAATCTGTAGTAAATTGCTTAAACATTGGAATATTTTGAATGTTGAAGGTAAGCAAATTTTAAATTATAGACTTACGCTTCAACTTCACGTTCTCTATAATACCATTCACGATTTTCTAATTTTTCTAGGATTTTTCGTCGTTTAGCAACCTTTACTGGATCATTTGCAATATCTTTATAAGGCTCCAAATTTGATTCAACTTCACGCCTTTGTCTAGCACGTTCTATTGTTTCAACATCATATAATCCAGCGGGTAATCCATGCCCATAGCCCAAAGTGGCTAATGTCAGTGTCTCCGGTGTTTCACCGACACTGACAACATATGGAGGTGAATATGGATCAGTTTGTGCTTCTGAATCACGATACATCGTTTGCACATAACGTGATACATAGGTAGGCGGTTGTGAGATTAAATTTGTTTGTGTTATATTCTGATTTCCAGTCACAGATTCTAATGTAGTACTCCAGTTCTGTAGATCCGCTGTGGGCTGAATATGAAAAAAAGGAAAATAATTCTGATGCATTAAATTAGAAATGTGAGAAAATTTATTGCTAGAAATCATTTGCACTAATTTGCCTTAAAGTAGAGACATTGAAAATTAAAAGAGTGATATTTCACTAGCCAACCTATTTTTAAAAAAGACCTATGACAGCAAAGAATATTCTTCTCGTTACTTCTCCACAAAGCTCTATAGTTACATAGCATTCACGTAACCAGTAGTAGTCCCAAAAGAGAAGGGGGGTTAGGAGTGAGGATAGTGACTTCAACCCACAAAAACAATACCAGCACGACCGGAATCTCAAAGGTTGAAGCTATATGTGTCACTTGTAATGGAAGTAATTAAACTAGGGTGTATGTATGCCATCAAATGAAGTTAAAATTTCTATTCATCACTACATAAATTTAAAGTTGAATGAATATATTTTCATCCTACCAGATTTCTTAGTAATACATTTCAAGCTAGATTCTAGCAAATTATCCCTTTCCTTTATTTCTTTCAAGAAGAGTATGAAAAGTTGAAAGTAAGCGGTTCACCTAGTCAGTGATGAAGTTATAAAATTATTCTTATCCACTACAAAAATTAACAGTTTCATCCCATTATTAGAGGAAAAAAATATGTTGTTTTGCATTTGGTTGAAAAACTAATGCATTCAAATCTAGTCGGACATTCGTCCTGTGCATAAAATCCACACATGTATGAAGGTTGACACCATCTAAAAGGAAAAGCTCTAAGTAGAAACAGGCTTGATATGAAGGACGTTAATCAGGTGAAATATATCACTACTTTTTCATTCCTTTAGATATGAAAACTTAAATTATATTGCGTCAGCCTGCAACAAGCTTAACAACTGTTAAAATATGGAGGATATTTAAGATGAATCGTTGTAAGACTGCAGGAAATTAATCTACTTATGCCTCAAGAGAGGAGATATTTTCTGGTGTCCTATTAAAGACATGATATGATCACAATTTTTAAAGAGGCTATCTTGAAATTAGTAAAGCTGAGATTGTGGAAAAATCCTGTAGTGTTTTAAGTTTTCGTTTTAACACATATGCATACAGACTCTCCAGGACGCCAATTTTTGCACCTTTTTCTTGTGTTGTTAACACACAAATTCCCTGAGTCAGAAGTTTGGCCATGGTAGCTAGATAAGTTCAGAATCTTCTTCCTTGAATAATCTTAACTTTTTATTTTGTTCAAATAAAGTGCTCTTCAGAGCACATTACTTATTTACTCAGTCTTTTTGATTTGACTTTCTTCGTCAGTACTTACAAGTAAGATAGAGTAGTGATACACTGGGCAATTAGGCAAACTACATTTAGTAAGGGCTGGTATAGTGTAGCCAATAGCTAGACCAGTACCTTATAAGCTGGTTTAAAAAATGCTGATTCGGATTTTCCGCAAAACTGTAATAATATATAATATATGACAGGTAACTGTTATTATGATAATTAAGTCATCATAAACAATTGGAAAATTAAATTGTGGGTAGTCACAAGAGATACGACGGACAAAAATATGTGCAGTACAAGTCCCATTCGATCACCCTTATCTGACCACCCTATATTTGCTGCTGTTCACTGACAAAGGAGTGACTACAGCCGCTGATTGTGAAATTTAAGACCAACAATAACTAAGTGGAAAAAACTGCAGCTAACTACATTCCAGTCCCCTTTGGGGAGTAATGCTCTTTGGGTAAGCACGAGGAGTCCCATAGCCACTCCTGGTTGGGCCATTTCGACTTAATGGCTGGTGGTTTTTTACACAGTGATTAGATAGTCTCTGGATCTTCACTAAAATGGAGGATAAAAACTAATCTCTCAAAGTCGGTCTTTTTATGGCTAATTTTGAAAATACAAATAGTCTGCGCTTTCCTAAGGGTTCTTCATTCAAATCTTGTGCATGACTTTGGAGGCATTGACTAAGTTGTATTACAACCACACACAGAGTATGTTGTATCATTTAGCCTCACATTCTATGCGACTGAATAAAACCCATACAGTCTCTTTCAATTTTCTTCTTGAAATTATTACAGGTCACCCTAGCATTTCGTGGCTCCCCATACTTTCAATTGATCGGCGTAAAGTTTCATGGTTTAATCTCCCTCGGGGGTTAGTCATAAGTAGTAGAAACTTCAAACGAATCAAAATGACCTAAGTTGACATTCTCGAAGTTGAGGGAGAATAAGTTGCCTTCGTAAAAATTCCTTCTACACAGGGTAATTCGCAAATACCAAAATGAATAGCATATTGGTGCTCACTTGGCATGCCTCAATCAGATAAGTAGTTTGCTTAATATATTTTCCACATGACATACAGTGGGAATAGACTATAGATATAATTTTAATAAAGTTTCGATGACAGTTAAGAATCTATAATTTATTTGCTCAGACCTGCCAGTCATTTAACCAGCAATATAATCAAAACCCTGAAATTACAGTATCCAGAACAGTAGATATGGAGTTCTATCAGATATAAACCAATAGTATTTATAGTAAAGTCAAACTATGTTACTACTACAAAGCCAGATATTTGGATTTCGTGTTGAAAAGTCACTATGAAAACCATTCGGCTTCACTTTCATGGCATTCTCTAAGGCATTTAACTACCTGCCTTTGAATCACAGTTCTTTCTAAGTACGAGCTCATAAGGTACCATTTGGATATACCTGGATACATTTGCATTACTGCAGAGCAATTAATCGGGAAGGTGGTGGGGTTGCCCTATATATCCAGGATGACATAGGAATTAGATCAACGTTATTGGAAGCTAATGACAGAGGCACTGGAGAAGCCGCAGCCTGTGTCATTACCTTGAACAAGCACATTGTGACAATCAGGGTTATTTACAGAAGCTGATGACTTCATTCTAAATCACTTGATGGCGTGGAGTGGTAGAAATAAGTGTCTGGTTGTTGGTGAGTTTAACGCTCCACATATTAATTTGGGGGAATTAACATCACCTTGTTTCAACTCATAGTGACAGTGCTTGAATGCGCACTTGTGCAGCATATAGATGCACCAACACGATACTACCGTGAATATGACCCGTCCACTCTAGACTTGGTGCTAACACACCAGAAGGAAGATGTCGGTGACATTAGGTGCCTGGCGCCGCTAGGCAGTAGTGACCACGTAGTTACCACATTTACGTTTGAGTTTCACGCTGTTATGCATAGGTCAGCAGCCGCCCATCCAAACATTTGGAAAGCGAATATACATATCAATACACTAGATTGCATCACTGCACTTTTTGCACCATTGTCTACGCCTCAAAAACTCTCGCACAAACCACTTTGAATTAGTAATGGAATAAGGTTATTGAGAAAACGAAAGAACTTATGGGACCCGTTTACTACTGTGTGGACTGAAGCCAGGTAAATCACCTGGGCCCGATATACCTCAACCTAAACTGTTAATTTTCTTGGCGAATATAATATGCATTCCACTTACGGAGATTTTCCGAATGTCTCTGACTCAGGCTAAGCTACCCAGGGACTGGAAGGATGCCATTATAAGCCCTATTTTCAAAGATGAGGACAGGCGATTGGTATCTAACTACCGGCCGGTAAGTCTGACATGCATTATAGCAAAGGTATTGGAAACAATTATAAGGGACCAGCCATTAGCTCATTTGGAAAAACATGACCTCCTGGCGGTGGAACAGCATGGATTCCGACCAGGAAGATCCTGCCTGACAAACCTACTATTGGCTAGGGAAGACTGGGTTGAGGTCAGAGATAAAAACTGTCTGTTGGACGTGGTTTTTGTCGATCCCAGTAAGGTACTCGATAAAGTATCCCACTTATGTCTCCTTAGTAAACTTAAAGGTTTTGGACTAGACCAACGCCTATATGAGTGGTTTAGGGATTACCTAATGGATAGAGGGCAGAAGGTTAGAGTTAAGGGTGTATTACTAGGGTGGAAAGCGGCATCCAGTTGGGTGCCTCAGGGAACTGTATTAGGCCCCTTGTTATTCTTATTATACTTCAATGAACTACCGGGGATTCTTAGTTCATCTTCATTATTATTTGCGGACGGTATTAAGATATGGAAAACTGTAAATAATAACAATGATAGGTAGGCCCTACAAAGTGACCTAGATGAATTAGCTGAGTGGTCGAACCTGTGGAGTTTGGGAATTAATTCCAAGAGAAGCGTAGTAATGCACCTAGGTCAGAGGTCTTACACGTCGTACTACCCGGGGGACATAGAACTGCCAAATGTTAGGGGACAAAAGGACTGTGAGCCATAACTTAAAAACAACGACAAATTGTAATGGAGCCGCAGCTAAGGCTTTTCGAATGCTGCGGGCACATAGAATGGCTTTCAAACGATTAGACGAGAGTATGTTACAAGGACTGTATGCAACATATGTCAGACCTAATCTAGAATACTGCATACAAGTGGCTGTTCCATGCTTCAAATAGGAGGGACATATCTTAGAAAGAGTACAAAGAGTAGGAACCAAATTAGTTAGTGGTATCTCACACCTTCCTTATGACAAAAGGATAGAGCATTTAAATCTCTTCCCATTATCATACCGAAGGAAGAGAGGCGACTTAATTTTAGCATACCGTATACTTAAGGGTGATTTAGGAACTGACCTATCTAACCTTTTCTCCCCTTCTAGGATACATTTACGAGGTTACCACAAGTTGCTCAAACAGAGGTCGAACAAAATACGTGTGGAATTTAGATTCTCCCACAGAGTGGTCAGCTCCCGGAACTCCTTACCTGATTTAATGGTAACAGCTCCATTGGTAAACGCTTTCAAAGAGAAGCTAGATCTCTGCGGAAATATGTATCGCAAGGACTAACACAGGCCACAAGAGCCTACTATCTTTATCATCTGAATCTGAAAATGATTTGTAAACCGTACCCGAAAAAATGCAAATACAAAAAGCGTGATGTAAATGCCGTTCTGTTTTACATTTATTTGAAGAACGTCCATATGATAAGAACGTGCTGAGTTGTAGATATATGAAAGGTACTCTGAAATCACACACTTTTTAAACAAGCTAGCTCTCGAACATGCGAAACATAAATCGCAGTATGCTACGGGATAGTCCAGTGTGAAATTAATATCTGTATGTAAATTCATGGTCAAGAATGGCAATAATGAATTATTGACTAGTGTATGAGACCCTAGATGCCACTATATCGTTGGTCATTCGATTTTATAACAAAAGTAACGAAGTTTAACTGTAATCACAGATTTCAATTTGACGAATATAGTATTTGAGGTCTTCATGTGTGCAGTTCTGCAGACTTAGTGGGGTCCGAAAAATATGTAGATGTACCTTTCGGATTCTGAACTGAATTTTCACTCCTATGAGCTCCACAAACTTCATAATAACTTCCATCACTTGCTATATTTTTTGACTCGGTTGATCAAAAAATATAGTAATGTCTGACTGAAAAGACTACTTAGAAAGTGTATTATCCTAACCAGTTCACCCCACTTGAAAGTTTAATGGGAGTTTTCACCTGATGTGGTGCTTTTATTTGATTCCGCCACCTATTTGAATGAATGCGACCCTCTGATGGGTGTCAATTTTCAGGGATACACTTGCTGCCAGGGAGATGTTTTGCTGATTCAGGTCTCAAATTTACTCCTTTTACGTAGAGGTGCCAGCAAAATCATGTCTTCTGGTAACTGTGATTGGCATACGATTCGTTCTTGTCAAAGTAAGGTTGTGCTGCATGAGTGATCTGCACCAACTTCTAGTGTAAGGGTAGGTAGTGAAATGGTTGCATTCTCTGACCACTTCGATGATTTGGGGAATTGAATCCACTCTAGCGAAGTGGTTACTAAACCATGTAGTTGTAGACGGCATGGCTGGGCTCTTCCAGGTTGTAAGAAACAATGGTTAAAGTTTCCTGGTTATGCCACTTAAAATCGCTCACACTGTCCCAGCTGTATTCTCTCCTTAGTGTCTTTGAAATTTACTGATATTGTACGCGCTGTTACCTACATACGTCTTCATCTATCGTAGTTTTATGACATTTCTCTGTTCTCCGAGGTGTGAAAACTTGAACTAATGCAATTTTATGCGAAGTTCTTTGCTGATAAGTTGACGATTTATACAAATTATTAAATATGTCATTGTATCATCCAATTATTACCAAACAATGTTCCTCGGAGTTCTTAAAATTCACTTTGTTGAGGATATACGTAATTCGAAAATAAGTCTGCTAAATACCGTTAACGGTGTCCGTAAGTTTGTCCTTTACTCCCTTCAACTGTGTGAATAGAAATATGTGTAATTCATAAGTAACATTGATCTGCCACATCATATTGTTATTGGCTTTCGGCAGTTATATGATTGGTTGTTTGCTTAGACCAGTATTTTTAACTCCCGTCAAAGTTCTGCTGAAGTCTTTCACCAACTTATTCCATCTGCTCCATGATGTCACATTGCCTGTTATACGTCGTGTTCCACAAAACAATGCTCTGGTCTCTTCTATATGTTTTTGAGACAATCGTCGTTGGCAGAATTTGAAAAACTTCATATATGTGATAATCTTCAGTTTCATGTCATTACATGCGTCCAGGAGACTGTTACATAAGGAGATTAAAGCTAGAATTGTAAGCAGAAATAGGTAAGTTGGTGAGGTTGTAAACTCTATCTCTTAAGTCATTTTCCGTTACATAGGCTTTTGGTTAACGCTTTGGCTTCAACTACTGTAATAGAAGTATCAACCTTTCACTTTTACTGCGATGAATTATTAGAAATTAAAAGATTTCTCAAGCCCTAACAAAATTGTTGGTCAGTGATCTGTTCATCATTATATCAGTCGATTTCAAAAGTTCATAACTGACTTATCTTGTTATATATCACGTGTTTAGAACATCTGTCATGAATTTACAGATCTTAGATGACTCTGCAGATATATGTATCGCAAGGATTACCGTAGGCAACAAGACCCATATATCCTCATAATGTGAAACTAGACAAAATCAGAGGATAATGGTTAGCCAGTGGTTAAAAAGGACAGATTTTGGGAAAACAATAGGAATTACAGGAGAATGGGTAAGTCCTGGTTATATAATGGTCCTAAGGAGAAAATAATGCCTCAGTAATGGATGAAGTTGGATAGTCATGGTAGTTAGTGTGAAATATAGGCCATGTTTTGGTAAAATATTAGTTTACTCATGGGGAAATATAGTTTCAATGACGCAGCAGGGAGAAAATAGTAGAACATCAGTGAATAGTGAGGAAGTAATCAGTACGGTCAGTAGTAAGAAAAGAGGGTGAACTTTGGTTATATGACAAAGCTTTTCCTATTTTGATTAAAGTGCAACCATTATTTAACCAGGGTTAAAATAGTATTTCCCCATGAGTTAACCAATATTTTGCCGAAATGTAACCTCTGTTTTCCACTATTAAACCATTACTTCCGCATTTCTGCCATTATTTAAGCGATATTTTCTCATTTGAACCAATGTCAGACTAATAATGGTCACGACTGTAAAATATTGATTAAATTTTAGTCAAAATAGGAAAGAATTTTTCATATACCCAGAAAAATTTTCTTACGATTGACCATGCCAATCATTTAACACTTTTGTCCGACTGGGGCACGTTGTGGTGATAAAATGAAATTAGTATTCACGTGTCAAATTCCACGATCCGATATACCCTACTTTTAAAACCTCCGTGAATAGGTACAATTACGCAGTAAATTCACTGACAGAATATTGTGAACGTAGTTCATTCAACTCACATAGGGATAGACTGATGACGTATAGTAAGTGAAGTATTTGGGTCTATCCATGCCACTAAACGTGTGACCATCCATTGGACTTTCACCTTTTCTGAGCTGACTTTACTGGAATAAAATCAACTGGCAATCTTACATTTTAACCAATTCTTTGCATAAGTCTACTGGGTGAAAATGCCGTGACACCGATGCAGGAACTGGATCTTCAATGCTGAAACGCCATCTAAACGGTTGATAAGTGGGAATTTCGCTGAATAAATTTTCAAAAGAAAATAGTTTCTGCATTTTGGTCAGATTTGCACGTGCTTTAGTAGCAACACGTTCATGATCAGCCGCACTTGAAAGGCTATATAGAGGGTCTAAAGTAAAAGGAAATTATAGGACACAGAATATAGCTTGCCGTATAAGTAATCATGTTTTCTTTCCCTGACAGTTGCTTGTCGTTTAGATAGTAACATTTGTGTAACTTTTGAACAAGCCGCGTTTACAGACTCTTGTTGCTGAGATGACAAGTAAGTATAACAAAAGTGTGTTGCGTAGTTTAAATGCTATTATAGCTTCTGTCAATGAACAGGACATAGTACTTCATGTGAAGTGTTCTCATATCACGAGTTATTCGGAATACCTGTCATTCTCGTCAGATTTCCAAATTTCACAGAGCAAACAATGAACTGAATACTTCATTTTGTTTAGTAACGATGTTGTTTCCTTTTAAAAAGACTGAATCCCCAATGGCACGCCACATACTAATGCAAAATCCATTCCATTCTCTCCTATACACAATTCCTTAGGATCCATAGTAGATCTAAACTTCTGACGACAAGCTATTATTGTTAATTTTTGGTGAAAAGTTGAACTAAGAATTCCGAAAACTATCTCCTTCTAACTAGAAATAAGGTGATAATTTTGACCTCAACGTACCAATGTACCATGAAGTTTTTATGAAAATTGAAGTGCCTATTTATAATGAATGCTAGACAAAAGCTTGCCACGGTAACATAGTAGTTGATCAAAACTGTCCTGGATTACTTCCATTTCATTGGGTGTATCTATCACTCAGTAGCATTTCCGTACAATCAGCTTGTTGGCCTCCATTGAAATGATCTGAAATCGCTTCCAGAAAATGTGACCAAGATTACTGCTGTTGTGTGGTTAGCAGCAGGAAACATGAAGATGTAACATAGTTAGCACTGAATGAGCATACCGGGCAGGAAGGGCCCGAGACAGCATAAATCACGTTGGGCTCAGAGTTCAATTACAGTATTTATACATACTGATAGAATTTTATTGCGGTGATATTTCCAGCGAATCTACTGCCGGTAATCATACCAAATATTGGTTTTTTCTAATTCGAATGGGTATTAAAAAACAACAGACGTTTTGTGTGATCAAGGGTAGTATTTCACTGGAAATATTACTAAACCAAAAAACATATCATTCCCTATAAACTATTAAAATATAATGATGTATTAGACTTTCACCTCAATCTCCACCAAGGTGACGCGCTCCTTGAATGCGACATGCTTTTTCCTCTCTAACCGGAAAATACCTATTTTGTGAATTATCGCTTGGGAAACCTGATCTCCCTAGCCGGTGAATTAAATTCAACCATTACTTACATATTGAATCTCTGTGTGGTGAGTCCAGCTGTCTCGAACTACTGCCAAAGCTTCAGGTGCCACTTTTGTGGCAGCAGCATCCTCACTCGTTCAGATAAACAAGACTTGTCGGTCTACCACGTGATTGCTGTGAAGCCGATCATCCAGAAAGTACTAGGTAAAGTCGAAAACCTTCTCTTTCCCTTGTCTTGTACTTTTTCAGTCTTATTCTTGTTCTTGTGGGTAGATACTGTGGCACTCTTATTCGTATATAGCATAAGTTTTAGTGATTTTCAAAATGGTTATAGAAAGAAACCTTGGAAAAGGCACTAAAACACCATACTCTGTAGTCACAAGGGCTTCAGCCAGAGAAGGCAAAACCCAGGGACATCAACCGCTTTCCACATGCCGATCCTAAAGACTCGTGTAGGTCTCGTCTGTCCTGATACTACGCCTGCATTACCACAGTCTAGTACTGAGACGGCAGAGGCAATAGCAGGGGGACAGGATACTATACCTGCATCAACTGAAAGCCAGTGTGTGAAACACAGCAAACCTAAAAGGAAACGTTCAAGACGTCATAAGACATCGAAGGTGTCATCAAGTAAGGGAGAAGAATGTCAGGCATGTAGTATCATAGTCTCTAAGACTGACTCAGCGTTTGAATGCAATTTTCGCAAACGAAGGGTGCACTGCCATTGCGACAAAGAGGTGCCAAAAGCATACTACGAGCTTATGAGAAATAACTCGTGCCCGTGGTTTTGATATATCTGTCCACTTTGTCGCCCTGACACAGTCCCACACAACGTGTCTGCGGATAGCAGAAACAACATGCCACTCTTGTGTCCCAACACAGTCTTATGCAGCTCCCAAACTGCTAACATCACACTGCCAAAACTTGGTACATACAGTAAGAAGGACACTCCAGTCCTACTGACTGGAAATGCCAATTTTCACAAGGTGAAGATTCACAAGGTTGCACCCCCAACATCAAGGGAAGATAGAACTAGAAAAGCAGCACTTGCATCCACAAGCAAGCTTGGCAACACAACAAAGGCTGGCCAGAACCTGAGGAAGCCTAAAGTTGCTGACGCTGCAAAGGAATACAAGAAGCCAAAGGCCAAACCTAAGTCTGAGGTTAATTGGTCTAATTCTCTTATCCTCTTTAACGTACCTGTGAGCAAGGGTAGCTTGCTTGAAAAACTGGCCCTGTTTGACCAGGAACAGTGGTTCAACCTCTGCAGTAAATTAGGTCTGAGCATTAGTTCAGTGAAATTATTCAGGCTGTACAAGGGTGCCCACACGCCTCAGGGTAAGCCACCCACATTAAGAGTTACATTAGACTCTGCCGAAGAGGCCGGAAAAGTACTATTGATGGCTCAGGCACTAGCCATTGACAGAAGTTCAAACATAATGGTGAGACAAGACAGACCATGGGCTATCAGACAAATGGCAAGGGAGTCACCGGAACTGATGCCTTCTACCTCTATGATGGTACACGGTGTTCCGGAGCTGAAAACGGGCACTGCTTGTGGAAAACACATGCATGACGTACTGCAATGGAGATGGCTGTCATCTCAGATGGCCCTTGGCGCTTCTGGAGCCATCTCCATTTCCCGACTACCTCACCCCGCTCATCTCACACTGATTAGGTCTTCAAAGCTGCTAAGTGTCACATCCAACTCCCCGGTGCAGTTGGCCATAGCACTTCAACGGTGGTATGAGACCAACGGAAAAATGCAAGGACACATCCGATGCTGCGAAAGCAGACCTCGAACCATAAGGAGGCAGAAAACTGAGGCCTAAATACGTCCCCAAGTTTCAGTGATACTAGAGCGATGCAGTTCTGAGAATAACAGTCTGTGTCACCCAAGTGTACTGCCTAAATCCATGGAAAAGCCACAACGGGCCAGTTCCATCGGAATCGGTCAACTAGTCCCAACATTAAGTCCCCTACCAGCAGGCAGCTTCACGTCAACTACCCCACAACACTCTGAGGTTGTTAGACTCACTGTCAGCTGCCTATGTAGCAATGTGAGGGGGCTGAGAGGAAAAATAGGTGAACTCTGAAATCTCGAAGCATACCTACAACTGAAAATGATCATTCTCACTGAAACGTGGCTAACCCCCACCATCGCCGATAACGAAATCAGTATAGGTGATATGATTCTGGTGAAGAGAGACAGGGATAATAAGGAATGAGGGGGAGTTGCTATGCACTTTGATGGGTAACCTAAATGTGTGCGCGCAACGGACCCACCACTTATTGAACTCCCAGATTCCATATGGTGTCATTTCACCGCAGGCCACACCAAGCATTTACTGGGTGGCATCTACCGATTTCCCACCTGTGGAGCAGAGCACAATCAGCTAATGCTCAGCACTATCACAGGGATACGAGACTTGGGCTATGACCAAATCACCATTGCTGAAGATTTCAATGCCCCATCACGGAACCTTGGCTTGGGTTATGCTAAGGGAAAATTCGGCTGAAATCTACTGCAATCCATTCGAAATACGGGACTGACTGAGAACGTTGAAGACGACACTAGGTGGGGCCCTAATGGAAAGTGATCGAAACCAGACCACATTCTAGTTAGTGACCAACTACTCGTCGAAAAGGTTCAGATCATGACTCCTCTAGGAGGTAGTGACCATGCAGTCATAGTTTACGATCTCGTTCTCCGTGAGCATTTGCAGTAGGACGCCACTCAACCATGTTTGTTATAGCAAGGCTGACTATGCTGAAATGCGGGGGCTCTTGTCCGACGCAGACTGGCCCTTAGCATGGGATCAGCTATCTGTGGATGATCACCGGAAGGTGATAAAAAAGATTATTCATACAGTAATCTCGCACACCGTCCCTTTAGTCACAACACAGCCCAAAAGGAAGTCATCGTGGTTAAAGAGAGGCATGCAACATATTCTGCAAGCAAAGCGGAAGGCTTGGTTCACGTGGCGCCTATCTAATAGTTAGATCGACCACGATGCATACCTGGAACTCAGGAACCGGTGCGATGCAAGAGTCAGAAGGGACAGGCGGTCATTCCAGGCTAACCTTGCTAAAAATCTCATAGCGAAACCCCAAAACTCGTACCGATTTATGTCGGAGAGAAAACCAACCAACCAGGGGACATGCACCTTAATAGGCCCAAACTGTCAATATCTCACTAGTCTAGAGATGGCTGAAACATTCAGTTTAGCCTTTGCCAAACAGCCAAACAGCAATGTGGGTATTACTGTTACGGACCAAAATGGTGGCACTACTATTTCATAAGAGGAAGACCTGGTGGCTACTCCCCAAGTAAACCCCGCAATAGCACAAAGGAAGCTACAGTGACCCGCATCTGGAAAGTCCCCAGGTTGTGACGACATCAGGCCATCCATTCTGAAACAGTGCGCTGAAGCTCTCTGTAGGCCCTTATGCGACTTGTTCCAACACTCCATGGAATCGGGGAAACTGCCAAGGGAATGGAAAAGAAGCATCCTTTCTCCGATCTTCAAGGGTGGGGATAGGTAAAATCACACTATTTACAGTCCAGTGCGTCCGTGGCATAGCGGTTAGGACGCTCGCCGACCATGCACATGGTCCGGGGTTCGATCCCCGGCCGACGCACTCCTTTACCTCGCTGAGCCAGAAATAATGATGGTGAAGAGGAAAGGCTGGGCATGAGGCTAGCAACCCCATCCTGTGAAATGAACACTGCTACAGAAACTTCAAGCCACTAGCTTGAAGCCTTATGTTCCACTGGGGAACGTGAAGGAAGCAAGAAGAAGAGAAGAAGAAGACAGTCCAGCAGCTCTACTCCCAGTGGTATCAAAAGTACTGGAGAGTATTATAGACGATCACATCAGGGAATATCTTGATAGGTCTAATATACTCCATTAAGCCCAACACGGTTTCAGG